AGCATTATTTGGGACGCAATTTGTGCTGATTTTGGGACAACTGATGAAAGTCATACAGAATAACTTCTAGTCTAGAGCCAGCCACTGTGGCATCCCTGCAGAAACACAAGCTTTTTGTGATGATGGTTCTGACAGCTGCATTTTGAGGTCTCTTAATCATCCAGTTCTTCACCGACTTTGCTGGTGCTTCACAGATGTTGCATTGTGTCAGCTCCTCACCTGAAAGGAGCATGGTGGAGGCACATTTCTTTTAGATAACTCTGTGCACTCCACTCAAACACACACACACATGCACACGTTGATTAACTAAGCTTGCTATCTCATCAGAAAATGAAATCAGGTTTGTTTGACAAGAGCTGTTTCCTGCAAAGCCACGTTGATTGCCATAATTTAATTTGATTCCAATCCTTTAATTCTTTATTGACCAAATCTCCTGTTAACTTCTTGGGCATTCTGCTGGGCACTGACGTCAATCTGCAGCTAATCACATCACCGTACTTTCTCGCTAAAGTAATGGCCTGAGGAAGCATCTGCAGTCACCACAGCATGCCAGGATTCATAGAAGTTTGGCAGAACAGGCCAAAGACCTCCTTGGCCAACTCAGAGATGCTTTTTCCCCCTTGCAAATTACACAGACCTGCTGCTGTATTTGTTTTCTGTTCTTAGCAGAAGCTGTTTAACATCCTTCTCAGCTACCAATCAATTAAATTACATTAAAAAATAAAGTTCTCTGATTGCCTTTCTCTCAGGTAGGCATGGACCTCTCTTCTCCATGCAGAGGGGCAGATGCCTTCGTCAGCTTTTACCTGTTTTCTCTACTTAACAGCTTCTAACTCCCGTCAGATCCTGACCAGCTTCCCCATTTCACTCTGTCCATGGTGCTTCAGCTGCAGCTCTCAGTGCTGCGTTCCCTTTCCTAACCGCAGCTGTCCTTTCCTGCAAGCATGCAGGGGAGCAGGCTTGGCCGTTAGCTGAACTTGTTCAAAACATCTCCTAACTTACTCTGCAGTTTCCTTGTCTAAATTCCCTCTGCCTTTAAGCTCCCTCAGCTTTGGGAAAACGGAACTTTAATGAAAAATCAGTACTGCAGGCTGAAATGCATTGAGATCACCGCCACCGGTTCCTAGGCACCACTAACTTTTTTTCCTGTAGTTTAATTCCTCTTTTCTCCTCACAGTTAATTAGTGCTGGATGCAGAACCCTTTGATTGAAGGAACGGTCCCTGCGCTCTCCTGTGACATTTTATGTCTGCTTTGTCATGTCTTCCAGACTGAGCTCTCCCCACCCAACCCTTGCACCCTTTCCTTCTCACCACAGACACCTCGGTGGCAGCGGGGGATTGCCCGCTGCAGCACAGTGCATGCTTCAAACACACTTTCCTGTGGAGGTAAAACAAGGTTATTTCAGGACGGGGCGCAAAGGTGAGTGCTGCCTGGCCTGGCTGCTAGCACGGTGTTTAGGACACCCGTTCACACCAAGGGCAAAGCTCCAGCTCCAGACCATGCCCTGAGTGTGTAACTGGTCCGGTGTGTGCTCCTGAGGCGCTCGCTCCTCCTCCACAGGTCACACCACGGAGGCGGGATGCCTCCCCAAAACGATGCTTTGTCCCCCGCTGGGTCGGGATCCTGGGTCAGCAGGGTTGGGTGGGATCCTGGGCCGGTGGGCTGCTGCCTCCTTCACTTCTCCACCCCATCCCGAGCGAGCTGCACCGCCTGTGACATAATCCAGCCGATTTCACCAAACTTTGCCTGTCGGCAAGAACCCCCAGCTGTGTGCCTATAGGTACCTGCTGTTGTGTGCAAGGGATTAAGAACATTATCCGTGGTTGAAAATCTAGTTTGTTTTACAGAAAATGTGTATTTAGCTAATTATTGATTAATTTATACAAACAGAAACAAGCCAGCTCTTTTGCAGCAAACAATTTCTGGTTTTGGTTAAAAGGTTTGATATTTATTTGTGTATTTTTTTAAACTCAAGTCCTATTTTCACCTAAAAAATACTTAAAAAATCAGAAGTCTGTAGCCTTGGGTCTGCAGTTTCATTCAATAAGAAACTTTAAAATTTTTAAAAACTGCTTTTAAAATAAATTTTCCAGCAATTGCCTTTTTCCTAGCGGGCTCACATTGTGAATGCATACAGGGCAGATGCTGAACGCCCACCAGCCTCCCATCCTCAGGCACCTGGAGCAGCCTGCCGAGCCCTGACTCACGCCAGTCCTCCCGTACAGCCACCCACCTTGCTCTCTGCTTGCAGACTGCTGCCACCCTTGGGGGTGCTCACGCCGAGAAAGAAGCATCTCCTGGGGTCCAGGGCAGAGCTGCAAGGCTGTGCATAAATCACCCCAGGCAATGCTGCCAGGAGTCTCCTCCTGGATGGGGATTCGCAAGAGCATGAGCCCTCTCCAGGCATCTTCTGTAATAACCTCAGCAAGGGGGCTGGATGGTAACAGCCGTAGTCCCCAGTCAATTCTCTCTCATCTAATTTCTTTTGCAAATGGCAGGTGCTAGGAGATGACCCAGGGAGACAGGAATAGGCTGGGCAAGTCGCCTCCAGCAGAATGAAAGACCATCTCTGTGTTTCTGCCTGGAGCAATGCAAGTGCAGTTTCATTTCTGGCTCTGCTGAACGAGTAGCTGGAAGTCTTACCGGCTCTCAGTGCAAAGGGCCATGCCATGAGCTGTCCTCGCCCCCACCGGACCTCCTCCCCAAGCTCCAGGCAGCATAAGGCTGAAATGTGCAAATTCAGTATAGCAAAAAATGCAAATTCAGGATAGCAGAAACATTCTGTCAACTGTTTTTTTCAAGATGTAAGGGAAGAGTGCAGCAGAAAGTCAAGTAAACACCACAAAGACAGGAAAAAATATTTTTGATGTGGGGAATGACACATTCAAACCAGTTTTGAAACTGAATGCATTTCACTGAGTTTCATTTTTAAATTAATGTAGAAGTGAGGACTAAACGACATTTTGGGTGGGATTCATCTCAACAAACACAGGTGACAGTTGTAGACATGATCTCAGCCTATGGCTGGAGCTAGTCCTCCAGGTTGCCTTCATATCCCTGGAGACATACAGTGACTTTACGGCAGTATTCATCCCAACCTAAAGCTGATCTCTCAAACAGTTCAGAGGAATTATGCTGCACCTGCCCCTTTCATTGCCATGGCTATAAGGGAGATGGTGGTGACCATGTGGACCTCTGCCCTGAATGTGTCTCAGGAGGGTGAGAGTTGTCCTACTCCTTTGCTCCTTTGCGGAGGAGACATGCCATCTCTGTATGCTTTTCTTCTGAATCCTTGCATTAATGGACACAGTTCCCCAACCTCGTCCCTCCACTCCACCTCCACCCTCAGACCCAAGTGGGGTCGTGGCTCCTCTCTCTGGATGAAACTCCCCCCGCCAAGCAGAGGACCATGAGCACCTCTGAGACACAGCCATTCACCTCTGCTGAATTCTCTCTACTTCATCACTGCCGTATCTTAAAACATCCTAATGGGAGCTGTCACATAACCCTGGCAAAACACCCTGGGCAAATGCTCACCAGCCTGCTGCTTTTGTCCCAAAAAATTGACTCTTTGTACTTTAGGTGTTACTGAGTCCCAGAAGACTCCAGCCTGACCCCGGGAGGAGCATCCCTGCAGAGTGGGTGCAGAGCATCCCTCTGTCACTGGAGCATCCTCCATTTCTGAGGAGCAGAAACCCTTGTGAGTGGCTGAACCTCTGAACCCGCTGAACCTCTTGGTACTGAAGAAAGGCAAGGTATGGGGATATGAGTTGTTGGTGTTGGTACTTTGGACAGTTGCTGTTGACATGTTCACTGAAATTGCACCTCTCCCAGCGAGCCTCCAGTACCAGTTCAAAGTAATGCCTGCAGAGTATCTCCTTATCCCAGGTCAGAGCTGAACTTCCCATCTGCTAACGCTAAGCCCTAGAGCCTCAGAATGGCTCCTTGGGCCTGCAGCTTCCAGATAAAACCTGTCGTTGCTGGGGGATCTGACCTGTCTGCATCATTCCCAGCTGGATCCCAGCTTCCAGAACAGGAGGGCTCTTGCACCCAGGGAAGTCTCAGCATTGTTGGGTGCTGCAACCCCCAGACAGAGCCTGTGAATCCTGGGTGGACATAGCTGGCTGGCTCAGAGAGGGCTCAGAAAAGTCTGGCATGGAGCTGGTCTACCGGCAGCAAGAGTTAGGCGGGTCTCAGGACACTCAGACCCACGGCATGCTGTCCTTCAGGCCTCCAAGACATGCTAGATTTAGCTATTCACGGACTTGTAGTCATTACAACAAGCAGACACGGGACTGGTGAGTATCCCCAAGCAGATTTGGTGTTTATTTCCACCACTACAAGGTGTGGACACCTAGATACAGTGATAAACTGTGCATCTCCCCGCTTCGGTTTCCTCACCCAGCTGGTGTGAACTGTTGGATGGACAGAATGCTTTGAAGAGCTCAGTTTTGAAGATGTTCAGTTTCCATCAACACCCAGAAACCCAGAAACGCTGGTCTGTGCTCAGTGAGGGTCAGCCTTTTGTGCAAGAGAGGCCCGGAGAGGAGAGCCCCTGTGGCTACAGCACCTGCAATGTCTGGCAGTCTCCTGTTGCTAGCCCTGATAGTCCAGCAGGGACTAAAGAAGACAACATAGAAGGAATTTCCCCATTTGGAATAGAATCTGTGTATTTACACAAATATACCCTGAAATGTTGCTTTAAATTATCACAGGAATGTTCATGGCATTGGGAACATCTCAGAACTCGAAGGTGGCTGCTTACTTCTCTGTATCAATGGAAAGAAGGAAGGGCAATAGGACTCTGGTATTTGCTAATGATCCCAGCCCCAAATAACTTTCATCACAGAGTAGGGTCTCATGTGGTCATTTAAGCCAGTGAGTCGTCCCCCCCATTGCTTCTGTTCACTGTGTGCATCCAATGGGAATGAAATTTGTGCTCTCTTTGTGTAGATGAAAACACCTGGAAAACCATTGACTACTGTGCCAGGCATGAACCTTCCCGGAAAATAGGATTTTGAGCACCGCCTGATGGATCTGCTTGGTCCTCATGCTGTAAACGATGGGGTTCAGCGTGGGGGGGAGGGTCAGGTAGAGATCAGCCAGCAGAACCTGTGCACGCTCGGATATGCCGCTGCCGAACTGCTGTTCATACATGGAGACTATCCCAGGGGTGTAATACAGCAGCATCACGCAGATGTGACACCCACAGGTGCTGAAGGCCTTCCAGCACGATTTCTCCCCCAGGACAGTTTTAAGGCTCATCCCATAGGACACAGCAATGAAAGCCACGTCCATCCCTACTATAGGAGAGGACCCAGCCACACTGCAAAGCCCGCTGGGTCTGGGGTCTGCGCACGCCAGCTTCGCCACGGCCATGTGCTTGCAGTACGAATGGGGAACTACAAGGGAATGGCAATAGGGGAGGTTTGTCACCATCCCTGTCAAGGGGACCATGAAAAGGAGAGCTCTCACCACAATGGCCAGGCCTATTTGGGTGATTGTTTGGCGATTCAAGATGGCTTGGTACCTGAGGGGGTGACAAATTGCAACGTAGTGGTCAACAGCCATGGCCAGGAGCACTCCCGACTCCTCTGCTGTTGTGGAGTGAACAAGGAACATCTGAACAAAAACAGGCTATGTAACCAATCTCTGTAGAGTTCAGCCAGAACACACTCAGCATCTTGGGGATGATGGATGTCACCATCACCACATCAATGACCGCCAGCATGCCCAGGAAACAATGGATGGGGTCTCGCGGGGAGTTGTCCCGCCCAATGACAAACAAAACCACACCATTTCCTATCAAGGTGATGATATAGCTGAGCAGAAAAGGATGCCCAGGCAGATGGGGAAAGCTTCCAGGCTGGGGACACCCGCAAGGATGAAAGAGGAGGAGCTGCTGTTGGGGTGGTTGAAAGGATCAGAAGCCATGCAGGAGAATCTTGCTTTTGTGCTTAAAAAAAGAAGCCCGGTTTTGAGCCCTGAGATGTCCAGAACTAAGGGCGATAAGGTGGGAACTCTGCGTCAGTGCAAGAGCCAAATCAGGAATCCACACCATTATTACAATGTGTGAGATGGGAGTGCTGCAGCATAACATGACCGGCTAGGGGGAAGGGGTCAGAAATTCTAAATAAATGGGGCTGTGATGGCTTGAAAGTTCCTATAAGATGAAGCTAATGTTTCAAGTTGTGCCACCAGGGATAACCAAGGGAATTCTACAGTTCGTTGCTTGTGAAAGGCTTATTTCTTTGTTGGTTGCTCACCACTGCTCAGCTAATATCTTGAAATAAGTTGCAAGAGGGGAGAGAAAGGTCAGCATCCAGCTTCCCTCAGAGAGCGCTTTTGCCTGAGCAGCCCTGGCTTCCCTGCAGTGGGCCCAACATAGGAAGTCCCTCCAATTTTGTAGGGCAAAAACCGGTCTCAGAAAGTGCTCTGGGACATTAAGCGTGCTCATGAAATTGCCCTTTGCTGCTCTGTCTTCATTCTGTCATTCACCCATGAGAGAAGCCGGCAAAACTAGGCGTTATTCAGAGGAAAAGATTAATTTCTGAGATTTTATTCTGATGCGTGAAGCTTGATGGTAATACAGAAACTCCAGAGAACAATCCTGGAGAGACAAAAAGAAGAGTCTGAGTACGGTGGGCAGGATCTACACATTCATTTGTGCCAAAACTTTGCTGCTGCTTCTGCTGCTTCTCCCCACACAGTGGCAAAGACCAGGCAGGTGATGACCACACCAGATCCCTGCCTGTTAAAAGCAATTGCCTGGATGATCATCCACCAGTAGCTTTTTAGCAAGCAGCAAGCTGTGAGGTGGCTCATGGCTGACACTACCCATGCTAGTGATAACACGGAGTAAAATTCACCTGTGTACAGCCCCGCTACAGGACCATTTAGGCTAAAATTCAACATTAGACACAGCCAGTGTGGCAGTAGGGAGAAGCAGAAGGTAGGTAAGTTCAGAATAGAAATAAAGAAGATATTGGGAGACAACTAAGGAAACACAGCATTTGAGGTTTTAAAATGGAGAGCAGACTTTTGCAGGCTTCGAACCCTCCGTTTGAACTATAGCTTAGCCCCAGGTTTGGGGTTGCTGCAGGAGCAGCTGGCTGAAAAGACTGGTCAGGACAGAAGCGCTTACCTTCTGGCCTAAATGTCTGTGAATTGGGACATTTTAGAGGCTGAAACAGGATCAAAATTCTTTTTTAATTACTGCACATAACTGCACTGCTGACCCTCTGCATCCTGGTAACCAGCAGCTGCAGGAGTCAGGTGTAACTCCAGATTTGAGCAGCGACGTTAACCCACGGCTGCTCTCACCGACCCCGGCTCGCGAGCAGACCCACATTCTGCCGGTGACATGGACCAACCTTCAGACCAGCCCCCACTGCAAAACAGAGCTGTGCACCCTGGGATGGCACAAGCCTCAGTCTAACACACCAGATCTCAGGGTCTACGTGAGGGTCCCTCTGCAAAGACTCAGGGCATGGTTCAGCTGCCTAAACACGGGTGCCTAGAGCCATCTGAGACCCCCCGGTGTGTCCCACTTGGCCTCTACTTCCTTTACACCCAGCAGGGTGCAGGTCCCTGCAAACCCTGGGTGATGGTCTGCCTCTCCCACATGCCTTCGGTACCTGGGGGCATCTCAAGTGGCTGCAGACATCCAAGGAGGGGGCAGTGGAATGACACCCTGAGGGTCTGAGACCCTGTTGCTGTCAGAGAAGAGCTGGAGCATGGAGCTGACAGAGTAGCTGACTCCCTAAATGTGGGGGTCTGCCCTAGGGTGAGCTGAGTTGTTCTCCAGGATCCACTGACCGTAGGGGCTGGATCTCCACTGGCTGTACTCAGTGCTTAGACACCAAGCACTCATGCACACAAGCATGTGTGGACACCTACCTCCGGGCATTTACGTGTGTCTGAATCCAGAGCTGCATCCCCAGGTGCCTACATGCAAGGCAAAAGTATATTTGCTTCCAGAAGCTCTCTTCCACAGCCAGTGCCTGGCACAATATTATTATCAGTATTGCAGCAGTACTGAAGAACCCTGATCAGAGGGAGTTCTTGTCCTGGGAGATGGAGAAACACAGCACAGAAAAGCTTTGCAGCCTAAGCTGCCGAGTCTGCCGAGAAGGATAAGCACAGGTATCTGTCTCACCTGTAGGACTGTCACCGGGGGGGCTGCAGCAGTACATCTCTGCCTATCTCTAAGTGCTGCAACGCTGGGGCATTCATCCATCCCCTGGAAATCCCCTAAGGGGCAGCAGATGGAGGACGCAGAGATTAGGTTGTCTGTCTTGTGAGGAGATGGAAATTTTCAAGACTGCTTCAGCTTCTTTCATTAGCTTTCCCTCGTAGCGTCATACCATTGGGGCCTCAGGGTTATGGCAGTCTCCAGAGCCTGCCGGGTGCCCGTGAGACCAATGCACAAAATGTAAACTAAGAAGTCCATATCTGAAGTGGAGAAAAAACTCTTTGCTTTTGCCAGATGGTTTGGAAACTCTGGGTTTCCACTCTTCTCTCCACCCAGAACCATTACAGCAAACTTTTATGTCTGTTGAATCCCTGAAAAGAATTTGTGCAAGAATCGATGTAGGGAGGTGGGATCTCACAGCAGGTCCTGAGCCTTGGCTGCATCACGCAGTACGTGCGTGAGGAACGATGCCTACTGATCATGCATAAGGAAACCACACGTGATGGCAAACCTCCAGCAGGTGTAAGGCCTGCCTTTAAGGTTAGTTAGCAGAATGTCAGCTCATTAGGGAATAAATCCCTAATTTTCCCTAATTTTTCAGCTTATTTTCCAAAAAAAGATTCGGGGCAAAGTGCAGGCGAGAACCTCTGTGTGAGCAGAAGTGCAGTACAAGCGGAACACCATTCTGAAGTGGAGCGCGTCCTTTATTTTCCTGTCATCCACATAAAGTTAGCCTACCTGGTATAAGGCAAGCAGGTACACTTATTTTACTGCGGTGACTGGGCTGTGTGAGGGCCATACAAGCACAGCACCGAGGGGAGAGGTGCTGCCCCGGAGAGCTTGCATCCCAGCTCTGTCCCACTGACATCCTCTTCTGCCTTGTCCTGTCTCTTCTGTCTCCACTCTCAATGGCTCCTGTCCCCCTAAAATCTCGGTGAACAGCACAGGATTTGTTCAGCATAGGGCTCAGCAATGGGGGACGTGTGAGATGGGGGAGGAGATGAAGACACAGTCGTTTGTGATGTGCAGGGAATGTCATTCCTAGAGATTTTGTCAGAAAGGGGAGGTTTTCCTAAAGCAGGGATTTTGTTCTGCAGATGCATTCCCTGCCCTAAGAGCATTTTCTTCGCAGCCCCTGTGTCCTGACTCAACTCAGCACTTTCCCAGAGGAATGTGTGTGTACACTCAGGGTGCGAGATGGAGATGCAGCCTACAACGCATCTCCGTTTCCTTGAGTGGTCCCCATGTGAGCTGTCTTGGAGAGCCTGGGAGCGTGTCTGAGACTGCCTGACCACACGCATGGTCTGGGAGGCACAGACCTGATGTAGGATGGGTGCGTCAGCCCTGACATTTGGGATGCTTCAGTCTGTCAGAGCCTCTAGCTCAAAGCAGCCCATAAGAGCTACAGCTGAAAGGCTGTTCAGGATAGGGCATTTCTACCATCCATCACTCAGCTCCATGTGGACTAATATTATCTCTACTGCCACGGTCCTATGCACATTTTTTTCTTGGCCTCTCCTCCCTCCAGGGACCCAGGTCTTCTCCACACCCAAAAAAACCCAGCCAGCCAGAAATGCACCTACCCCTCCATCCTGCAGGGATCTCTGCATGTTGGATGGCAATGATGCCTTGCAGTTTCTCCTTTCCAGACACACAAAATGGCACTGTGTCCTGTCGAGCAGAGGGAATGTCTTCAGGGGTCAGGTCATGTGCCGGGGCAGGGACACAGTGTTAGACTGCAGCTAGGGAGCACGCTTTCAAGAAAAACTCATATTTAGGATGTTTTTCTTAGAGTTCACTTCTCTGATTGATATGTCTCAATGGCAGATCAGGAAGTTTCAGTGGACCTAAAGCAAGACTTTCTTCCCAAGAGAGGTCCCCCATGCTTCTCACACACTTTGGAGCCTGTCATGTCATACATGTCAGTGCGTTCATTGCTTTTGCGCCCAGGAGATTCCTGGCTGCTGATCTGGACCACAGGGCGCAAACACGGACCCTGCCCCAGGTTGTTTGCAAGAGGAGACCAGTCAGCCACACAGGTCAGCACAGGCTGAAAACACACACACAAACACAAACAACATCAGTGGCCTGATCCTGTTCTCCTCTCTGGGTGATTAGGATGAATGCTTTTAGAGGAAATTGTATACACATATGTACAGTATGGATCCCTCTAGTAGCTGAACTTAGACGCTCAGTCTACCCGGTAGCTGGTCCGGGGTCCCTGGTCTCCCCAGTTGCCTCATGCACATACACACACACACGTGCGAACGGCTCTCTCCAGTACCTGGCTGAGTCCTATGGCATCACCAGCAGCTGACCCCATGGTCGCTGCAGTACTGTAGCTTGGACCCCCCTGGTCCCTCCAGTAGCAATCAAAACCTCTGGCCTCTCCAGCACCCAGCCCAGACTTACAGCCTCACTGATACCTGGCTCTCAAATCTCAGCCTACTCGCTGGCTGGTCCTGCTTGATGTTTGCTGGTGATTGCACACTGATGTACGTACCCACCGCACATGTGTGCACCCCAGTCTCTCCAGGTGATGGTATCCCAGGCTTGTGGGCTCCTGTGGTCCGTGGGCCCCACTCCAGCAGCTGGTGCTCAGCCCCCCTGCTCACACATGCACACAGATTAGGGGATCCTCACCCAGGGATGTTGTTAGAAATGGAGTTTAACGAGAAGACAGGACAGACTGCGCTGATCAGTCACCAAGCATGGACAGAAAAGCATGGTGACCAAGACCATGTTTACACGTGACTGAACCCTTTCATCCGCTTATGCCTCTGTTTTCCCACACTTTTTTGCCCCCGATCCCCCTTATCCCTCCCATTCCCAGCCTTTGGTTCCTCCTCAAAACATCCCGTGTCTGAGTGCCACACAGTCCCAAAGTGCTCTTCCTGAATGTCCCCCCACCCTGTAGGCAGTACTCATGTCAGTTTGCAAGGAGGGAGACCCACTGCCATTGACCAACTTGGAGGTCTCACATCTAGCCATGGGCTGACCATCCTCCTGGGACAGCCCGGGGAGCAGCCGGGCCGGGGGCTGTGCTGGCTCTGAGGGGGATATTGGGGTTGCCCCACCTGCCATGTTCCTCTGCTCCTTCGGGTTTATGGAGGTGAACCTTTAATCACGCAACCCAACAGCCTCGGCACCTGGCAGACAGGTTCCCGCTGCAGATCCCTGCAGGAGGATGGCATCTATGGTTGTGGTGGTTTAACCCCGGTAGGCAGCTGAGAACCACACAGCCTCTCACTCCCTCCTCTGCAGCATTTTGGGGGTAATGGAGGTGGACATCACCAGCTCAGTGACAGCCAGCACAGATGGGAAGAGGAACATGGGCAGGTGCAGGCTGGGATCAGCCTTTATCATGCACAGGAGGGTGCTGTTCCCAGCCAGTGCGATGAGGTACATGATGCAGAAGGGGATGGAGATCCAGTGGTGCAGGTGCTGCAGCCCCTGGATGCCCATCAGGTGCAGCTCTGACAGCGAGGTGTTGGTGGGACGTGAGTGGGGCATGGTGGTCACTGCAGGAGCCTGAGTGAGGAGAGCCCAGGCACACAAGGACTGCCATACCCTGGGTCACACCAAAGGTCCATCCCGTCTCAGATCCTATGTCCAGCATCAGAAGGGCAACGAAGCTGGTGAAGGGCCTGGAGCACAAGTCTGGTGAGGAGCGGCTGAGGGAACTGGGGCTGTTTAGTCTGGAGAAGAGGAGGCTGAGGGGAGACCTCATCGCGCTCTACAACTACCTGAAAGGAGGTTGTAGCGAGGTGGGGGTTGGTCTCTTCTCCCAAGTAACCAGCGATAGGACGAGAGGAAATGGCCTCAAGTTGCGCCAAGGGAGGTTTAGACTGGACATTAGGAAAAACTTCTGTACTGAAAGAGTGGTCAGGCCTTGGAACAGGCTGCCCAGGGAAGTGGTGGAGTCACCATCCCTGGAGGTATTTAAAAGACGTGTAGATGAGGAGCTTAGGGACATGGTTTAGTGGGCATGGGGGTGTTGGGTTAACGGTTGGACTTGATGATCTTAGAGGTCTTTTCCAACCTTAATGATTCTATTCTACAAAAAGCAGACCCTTATAGAAGAATGTGAGAAAGGAAACGTACCATGATACCTCTCCCGAGTGCCTCCTCAGCTTTGAACAATTTGAAGCTCAGGGACTTCCTGAGCTGGATGTGGTTTCTCCATTTTTATTAACTCCACCCCAGAAACCCATCTAGCCTCTTCTGTGCAAAATTTTAGCACTCACACTATCTTTTAGCAAGGAGTTTCACAAACTAATGGTACCTTCTGTGAAATAACCCCTTCCCTTTTCTGTGAGCTGGTGTCATTAGCTGGTGTCATTTGACGTCCCATACTTCCTAAGTCAAAACAAGCAAAGAAGAGTTAGTCCAAACCTTGTCCTTCTTCCATATGCCACCATGAGATGTGGAAGTGAGTTAACCTCTAATGATGGAAGATTTATTCCAGACCTGCAGGAGAATTTTCAACCCCTCCATCAGGACCGACTATTTGATTTCCCATCTTCATCTCCCATTTGTCTTGCTCTGCATCTAGAAAGATGGAGCTGAAAAGGACGTTCTGTACCACAGAGCCGAGTGCCTGTTGCTTTAGGTGTGACAGCTTATCTTACCCAGGAAAACTGATAGTCATCATCCTAGGATATTTTGCTTTCATGCATCTGCTGGAAGACAGCATCAACCCTCCACCCTACTCCAACAGCTGGGAAATTACCGCTACTTTCCTCTCTCAGTGTGTTCCCGTCCAGTTTCTATCACCTCTGAAATTAAATCTGATTATGCCTTTCCCTCCCTGGCATTTACACCCCAGTGTGTCTACAAAGCCACAAACCCCAGCCTGACGTTTGCTAAGCAAGAGGGCCTCTGCTCCTTTGTCCCCCTTCACAAGACCAGAGCTCTGCTCCTAGTCACACAAGCAGTTTTCCTCCTCACACCTTCCTTTTAAGCATCTTTCTTGGCTATGCCTGGTTAGTCACACAGACGAGGTCTCACAAAGGGGCCTCTGATGATGCACAACAGTTTCACCAACACCAGTCTTCGAAGAGCTCCACTTTACATGTGGTTTCAGTACTCCCACGCTTTTGAGGTCCAGTTGTCCACATCACCTTCACCTCTCCCACTGGGGAAAGAGAGGCATTGGGCTTTCTGTTTCACAGGGATGCAACCCGTCTTTCAGCCAAATTAATTGCTGTTTTCCAGCAGGACCTTGCAGGCAGAGTGTGACATGTCCAGAAAGCATCACATTATCAAGGGTAGATCTTCCCAGGCAAATCTGATTGCTTTCTTTCTTGATTTATAAAATACATTAGCAAATTAAAGTAAAGTTTCTGAGCAAATCATACTCTCAGAATTGCTTGTTCAATGGAACACCCTCAGGTAGGATGAAAGTGAAGGGCAAGGGCAAAGGACTGAGCTGGAGGTCTGCAGATTGAAGTGCATTGTGGCGGGCACTTTATGGAAAATAATGGCAAACTAGAGGGAATTCAGAAATAAGGATGAAGTTAAGCTGGAGAGCTGTGTGGACTGGCTTACCTGGAAAATGGTCTTGAGAAGAGCCTTGAAAAGTTGCCTAAGATTTTTTTCAAAATCCAGGCAGCATTTTTTCGTAGACAATGTGGTCAAGAAGCATGGGACTGGAGAGGGTCATGGGGCCTTTCCCAGGCTCTTTTCTTTTTTTTTTTTTTTAAATAGATTTTTTTTAAAGTTTGTAAAGAAAAGATGGCTAGTGTGCCCCATCTGATTCCCACCTTGGGAAACTGCAGCAGATGTATATTTACAACATCAGTGTTTGTCGCCCAGAGCATTTTTGCTGTGAGAGCTGATGCCCGTGGAAGCAGCGCGCTGACCCTGCGCATCCCCCAGCTGCGTGCCCTGCTTCAGGCCAGCGCTGCCAGCTGTGGGGCTGTCCCCGCTGGAGCCCAAATCCAAACCACCCTGCGGAGTCCCTCTCTCAATGGGCATCCCACCTACCGCGTCCCTGCCTCCTGCATCAGGAAGGAAAACCGGTGTCATGGCCAAAACCGTCCTGAGGCTGCAGTGCCGGTCCCCTCCAGCGCTAACCCTCCCACGTACCTCAAGCCCTTGCCAAAAGAAAGAAGTGCTGTGAATTGTCTCTGTTTTACTGGGAAAACAGAGGCACAGAAGGGTTAAATTAGCCTGCCGGCAGTATGGGAATTAGATGCGAGTTTCACAGGCACTTGTACCCTCTGCTTTCCCCAACATACCAAAGGGCCAGACTTCATCTCCCTGGCTTTCCAGACATTTGACTCCCTTGACCCCTAAATAGTTTCATCTCTCCCCCAAACCGCTTTGAGTCCTCCACATGACACAAACCAGCAGGCATTTCAGTCTGTTTCTAGTCATTGCTGTTTGCAATGTAAGGCTAAATACTGCAAAGCAAATATTTTGAAAATGCTGCCAAGATGGTGTTATTTATAATAGTTTATTGCAAAGAGGACTCTGTTTGCAGTGTAGTTGGCTACCTCGGCTATAAATTCAGGGAGGCAGAGCCACAGCTGGCACAAGCCAGTCCAGCAGGAAACGTGTCTTGTGCCAGAATTATTTATCTGGAAAGGGCAAACACATCTGAGATCCTGTAACCCTGTGCTTGGAAAAAAAGCAGACACTCCTTCCCTCCTCTCTGTCAGAAGTAATTAATCTACAAATCTCATATACTGTTCTGGGCAGTGTTACCTGTACTTCATCTTGTATAACAAAGCTATCCAGATTGTTAAATAATGCTGTTCAACAAACATTAGACTCAGTTTTTAGCAGGTCCTTTTCATGCATGTTCACAGTGCTGTGCCAGATCTGCTCCCTTAGCAGGGTCTGATGTCTTGGGTACAGATAAACACATGAAACACCAGGGAAGAAACCTCTTTAGCTCAGTCTCTCTGGCCAAACCATTTGGGTCATACAAAGGCGCTATCCCCACTGCACTTCAGCTTCATCCGCATTACACCTCACCTCCCCTGCATTTCATGTGTCCTCCTCTTGACATGCCTGCAGCCGCGGTGCCAGTGTGCTGGCAACCAAAGGTGCCTCCGGACCCTGTCATATGCAGTGACAGGCTTCTAGTGTCATGTCCCAGCCCTGCATAGAGCATCGCACCTGGAGGAGCTCTTCCTTCATCTCAACTCCCACCCAGCCTTGCATGGACCTCTCACTTCTACCACCAACCCCCAAGAACAACTGCAGTTGCAGCCTACATACAAATGCCATGTTGGGAAGGTATTGAGATTTTGGCTATTTTTGAGTTCTAGATGCGACAAGGGATGGGAGCAGCACTTTCAGACTTGTTGCTGCTCAAGTGGAGCTGTGCTTTCAGGCCTGTTGACACACTTCTGAGCATTTTCTTTGCGCTTTGTTGGCACAAAAAGCTGATAGAATTTTATTTTGTGCGATTAAGTAGTTCAGTAACTTGTGAAGTGACAGGTTTTTCGCATTGCAGTAGACAAAATCCAGAAAATTTTCTAGAAATGGGGGACATCACCAGGCACCTTGACCCAGCTTGCTGTAGCCCATTAGATTTGTTGCAAACTTATTGTACTTTATTTTTGAACAGTGAAACAGATTAAAATACCCTCAAAGAATGAGCTGCTCAGTATTGAACAAAGTGCAAAAGGAGTTGAAATCTTTGATTGCTAGCATACTGGCAAAGCTTCCCTGACTTTGAAAGGAGGGAATAGATCCTGGTACTTGAAGTTGAGATTTTAACTCTTTCCTCACTCATTTTTGTCAGCTCTGCCTCTCTGCTGCTAAGCAATAACCATTAAATTTACCAGATTTGATGCACTTAACATTTTGTGTCATTCTTAAACATTGTAAATCTACCAGCCACGTAGTCTGAGCCTATGAAAAACATATAGCCGACTCCTTTTGCAATCACATGCTGATCTGACTGTGCTAACAGCCACCCAGCACTCCTGATCGGCGTACAGCCTGTCACGAAACAAAGATCCCTTGAATTTTGGGTTTTAAGAGAGCTAGAGTGATGATCCAGTCCATACCCCTTCCCCAGTATAAGATCAAAAGTAACCTCTGATAGATACATGCACGACCTGATCTCCCATTGCAGAAACTCTATACTTTCCCCAATTCACCCCTTTCAGAGCATTTTCCTAGCATCAAGCCTATATCTCACTGGAGCTCATGACTTTTGTCTTTTCCATAAGGGAGAAAAACAAATTATTACCTTCCTTGTGGTGGTTGCCATCCTCTTCAGGCTTGTGCAAGCAAAAAGGACAAGACTAGAGCTATGATTAGGTAACTGCAGGTCTTCGCAGATAACTGGGTTAGCGGGTGTTACACGTATGTGTCTACAGCTTGTTTGAAGTTCATTTAACCAAGGAACAGCTTGCAGCCAAATAATTAGCACTGTTGTAATTAACCTATGCAAGGAAGCAAACTGAGGTTGCAGGTGTATGACTGGCAGTTCTCTACCACAATATTCACTTAGTGTGCAATATCTAGAAGTAGCTCATTAACTCAATAAGAGACAAAGCCCACTTAGA